CCCCACGGACTCTACCAGGAGTCTCCTCCTGCCTCCTGCCTGTCTTGTTAGGCCTGACTGGGTTAGTTCCCTCCAGTGTCTGAACTACTCACCACTCTTTCCTGCTCCCAGGGGTGAAGGCCAAGAAACCCATCCAGACCAAATTCCGGATGCCATTGCTAAACTGGGTGGCGCTGAAACCCAATCAGATCACAGGCACTGTCTTCACTGAGCTCAATGATGAAAAAGTGTTACAGGTGAGTGGGCACTAGAGGGCTGCAGGCTCATGTTGGGCATAGGGGTGGCCCTCTCCTTCAGGATGGGAAAGCCCAGAAAGCAGTATCCTGACCGCTGTGGCCTTTCTTCTTCCCTGAGTGTGGCTCTCCTTCCCGCCCATTTCCCACAGATAACTAAAGCCCGGGCCCTTCTGATTCTGGTTTCACCTTGGAATGGGTTTCCTGTTCTCTGAGCCACTGCTTACATTGATTTCATTGCCCCAGAATAATCTTTCTTACTGCCGGCTGCTTAGCCCCTCTCTCAGCGTTAACAGCTGGGAATCTGGGTCCTCTGTGTGGTGTTTGTCTCTGTCTCCCCTGTTATCTCCTGTCAAGGCTGTGGTCAAGCCAGCTCACTGGTTATTCTGGCCGGTGGTATTCTGTCAGGCTATACCTACAGCCTTAGCTCTGGACACAGTGTTGAGCCAGGAGCGTGAGCAGATCTTGGCCTACTCAGCCTAGCGTTCTCGTCCTTGCATCCTTAGGAGCTGGACATGAATGACTTCGAGGAACAATTCAAGACCAGATCTCAAGGCCCCAGCCTGGACCTCAGCACCCTGAAGGGAAAAGCAGCCCACAAAGCTCCCACCAAGGCAACCCTCATTGAGGCCAACCGGGCCAAGAATTTGGCCATCACCCTACGCAAGGGCAATCTAGGGGCAGACAGAATCTGCCAGGCCATTGAGACGTGAGTACCTGCGCTTGGGGTGCGGCCCAGTCCCCTCGCTAGGCTAGGATCATCAGGCAGAGCCTAGTAAGAACCCCAGCAATAGCAGAGGCAGACAGATCTCTGTGAGTTTGAGTCCAGCCTGGTCTACAAAGTGAGTTCCAGGATAGCCTGGGCTGTTACATAGAGAAACCCTATCTTGAAAAGAACAAACAAAAAACAAACAAATGAAAAAAGAACCCCAGCAGTGTGATGGAACCCACCAAACTTTACCCTAGGGAACGTTGTCCTCATTTCTTGCCAAGAAAGCTAATACTATAACATGCCCAGATTGAGACCTCTCCACTCACTTCCTGCTTCTGCCCAGCATGGGCAACCAGGCCAAAGGATTTATATATGGCATCTGCCAGTGCTGTATGATAGGACCGGGGCTTCCAGCTCCCAGTTTCCCTTGACTCCTATCTCTTGTTCCTTGAAGTTGTCTGCAGATACTAAATGTTGAAGCTTGTTTGTTCCTTCCTTTTCTCTGGGACGACACCCACTCTCCCTCTGCTTCCTCATGCAGGTATGACCTACAGACTCTCAGCCTGGATTTCCTGGAGCTGTTGACCCGCTTCCTGCCCACGGAATACGAGCGTAGCCTTATAGCCAAGTTTGAGAAGGAACAGCGGCCGATGGAGGAGTTGTCAGAAGAGGACCGCTTCATGCTGCGTTTCAGCCGCATCCAGAGACTGCCAGAGCGCATGAACACACTCACCTTCCTGGGCAACTTTCCCGACACGGCCCAGCTGCTCATGCCGGTGTGGGCAGGACGGGCAGGGTGGTGTGGTGGAGCCTGGGCTGGGGGGAGGGAGGCAGTGTGGCTCCAGCTTACCTCATCTTCATCCCACCCTTAGCAACTGAACGCCATCATCGCAGCCTCAATGTCCATCAAGTCCTCTGACAAGCTGCGCCAGATCTTGGAGGTGAGAGCTCAGGGCAAGGGACTGGGGAGCAGGGCCCAGCCTTGCCTAGTCTAAGTAGCATCGGAAGGGAGACTCAGGCCCTCTCCGCCTGGGATATAGCAGAGAGAACGTTCCCGTTTCTCACAAATGTGCTCCGACAGACAGGCTAAGGTGGGAAGTGGGTGTCGGCAGTCGTAACCTCGGCCACGCCTGCAGAGTGTGCCCGAGCTCATGCTCCAGGGCTAAGTCACTCTAAGGATTGCTTTGTGAAAGGAATGGTAAGTGCAGCTGCTCAGTGCTGTGTCTGCAGACCAGAATATGTGGCTGTCTAGGGATGGAGGAGGGAGGTGTTGGGAAGCCAGTTACGGGGTGGGCTAGTGAAGGATAACGTTAGCGTGTACTCATGGTGTTGAGAGTCTACAGACGAGATGTGCATGTTCCATGTGTCGTGGACTGAAGGGTCCATTCAGGAGGGCATGAGCGTGAGGACTGGCTTCTTGCCACCTTTCATCCTTTCTGAGAAATATTCTTCAAGGGATTTTCCCAGCCTGGATCTCTGAGTCTTTCTCTGCCTTTCGCAGATTGTCCTGGCTTTTGGCAACTACATGAACAGCAGTAAGCGGGGGGCAGCCTATGGTTTCCGACTTCAGAGTCTGGATGCGGTGAGCGGGGGCTCCTGGTGTGGGGTCTGGGGTCTGCTGTCTGGTTGGTGGCCCATGGCTTATACCAGAACCTTGTCCAGTTATTGGAGATGAAGTCGACGGACCGAAAACAGACATTGCTGCACTACTTGGTGAAGGTCATTGCTGAGAAGTACCCACAACTCACGGGCTTTCACAGCGACCTGCACTTCTTGGACAAGGCAGGCTCAGGTATAGAGCACTGGGGGCTTGGGCCACTCATGTGGGTTAGGAAGGGATACTACAAAGTATAAGTGTGTGCATGCTGCCTGGTCCCCTGACTCCATCCTGTCCGTCCCAGTGTCCTTGGACAGTGTCCTGGGGGACGTGCGCTCCCTGCAGCGAGGCCTGGAGTTGACACAGCGAGAGTTTGTGCGGCAGGATGACTGTCTGGTGCTCAAGGAGTTCCTGAGGACCAACTCCCCCACCATGGACAAGCTGCTAGCAGACAGCAAGACAGCTCAGGTGGGGGGGGGCACAGGAGCACTGAAACCTTAGGGTGGGGTTGTGGAGCCAAGGCCTGGAGGGGTGTGACTACAGGCAGAACCCTGGGAGGATGGAGGAAGGGTAAGGGACCACCCTGTGTGGAAGGTGAGATGGCAAGAGATTCAACAGCGGAAGGAAGCGGTTGTGGATACCTCAGGGCAGGAAGAGGGGCATGGAGCATGGTCACGCTCCAAGGGGCCCAGGCTAGTGAGGCTAATGGGCTGTTCTTGCAGGAGGCCTACGAGTCGGTAGTGGAGTACTTTGGAGAAAACCCCAAGACCACATCCCCTTCCATGTTTTTTTCCCTCTTCAGCCGGTTCACCAAGGCCTATAAGGTACAAGTGTCTGACGGGTGGGCGGGGCGCGTCTGATGCATGGGGTGTGGGCCCTGCAGCCACTCCCTCAGAGTGGAGGGAGGAGTGGGGACTGCTTCTGTCCCAGGTGGGACAGGGAAAAAGGAAGGACCCTCCTCACCAAGACCTGCCCTGTGCCCTCAGAAAGCAGAGCAAGAGGTGGAGCAGTGGAAGAAGGAAGCGGCGGCGGATACCTCAGGCAGGGAAGAGCCTCCAGCACCCAAGGTAGGCAGCTGTCCCCTAGCCCAGTACCGGGGTACAGGAACCCTTCTGTTGAGATAGATCCCACCCAAGGATAAGGAGAGTGCCCCAGAAGCCAGGGGAGGCAGAGGGTTCAGGTTCTTTCTGCTTTAGCTGCCTCTCCTTGCTGAGGAACTGCACAGATGTTCTGGAGTAGGTGGGGTGAGAAGCATCCTAAAGTTAGAGCTGTTCATCTCCCCAGTCTCCGCCCAAGGCCAGGCGACAACAGATGGACCTCATCTCTGAGCTGAAGCGGAAGCAGCAGAAAGAGCCACTCATCTACGAGAGTGACCGAGATGGGGCCATTGAAGACATCATCACAGGTGAGGGCACAGCCAGATCTCGGTCCTGCCTTCAGTCTGTCTTACGTCACTCTCTGTTTCTGTTTTTACCCCCACCACACCACCTCCCCTCAACCTCAGAGTCTCGCTGTGTAGCCCAGGTTTTCCTTGCTGTGTAGACCAGGCTAGCCTCAAACTCACAGAGGTCCTCCTGCCTGCCTCTTCCTCATGGGCCACCATGCTTGTCCTCCATGCCTCTTGCTACCTTTTCTGTTTTTCTTTTCTCTCTCTCTCTCTCTCTCTCTCTCTCTCTAATTTCAAAATCTCAGTGCTCAAGACAGTGCCCTTCACCGCCCGCACCGGCAAGCGGACATCCCGGCTCCTCTGTGAGGCCAGCCTGGGAGAGGAGATGCCCCTCTAGTTTCCAGGTACCTAGACAGCCTGGCCTGCGATTCCAGTGCTGGCCCTGCATGGCTGGGATGTCTTAGGGGGTGGTGTTTTTGACTGAAGTAAATTAGTGTCCCCTTTCACGTGAGCAAAATCAGATCCTCAGAAGAATGAGCCTATGCCCATGTGTCTCTTTTGGCTTCCAGATCTTCGGAACCAGCCCTACATCCGGGCAGACACAGGACGCCGAAGTGCTCGCCGGCGACCCCCAGGACCCCCACTTCAGGTCACTGCTGACCTCTCGCTGTAGCCACTGTTTCCGTTGGTGGATTCTGTAGGGCTGTAGGCAGACTGGAACTCAAGGAGGTGACTCTTAGCTCGGCTGGGTCGAGCATCCGCTCCTCTGGCTGACTTGAAGCACCTCACCACACCAAAACAAACAAACAAACAAACAAACAAAAAACCAGAAAAGAAAAAAGAAAGAAAGAAAGAAAGGCTGCTTGCAGCACCCTCTCCCTCCAATAGCCATACTTAGCCTGAGCGCGAGCCTGGTCTATAACTTATAAACTGCACCTCGCTGCTGCCCTAGCCTGGAGGATTCTCCTTGAACCTTATTTTTATACAAGATTAATAAAGATGTTTGCAAAAATGCGCGTCGACTCGGTGCCTGACCCCAGAAGGCGCAGCCAGTTTCGCTCAGCAAACGTTTTACTTGTACAAGCTCTTCATAGCACATCTCTGGAAACAGGCTGGCGAAGGGGAGGAGGGGTGCTTCTGCACTAGAGTTGGCGGAGAGGGAGCCAGCTTCGAGGGGCGCATTTGCTCCAGCGGCTGGCTCGCTAGCCCGGCGGGAGGACGGAGGGGACCTACGAAAGATCCATAGGGTAACTCGATAGAGACCCGGCGCATGCTCAGCAACAACTGGGTGCATCTCCTGCTGCCCCCGCAGTCCTCATTTCTTTTGGTTCAGTTCCCACTCTATGCCAGCCTCTGCTGCCTGCCAATCACGCCCCATCTGCTGTCCCGCCTCCGCCCCATCTGCCCTGTCCTTAGAGTCTCCTCGGACGATCTGGTCTGCGCTTGAGTCTCACCTTTGCTGAGTGGTCCCAGGTTGGGAGGGAGCTTGGGGCGGCCTGGCTGATGGGGATTGGGGAAGCGAACGTCGGGGCCCGGGGCTCGGTTCGAGATCCTGCGTTCTGGTCGCTGGCGCCCGGTCAGGTTGGGAATCTGAGAGTAGGGGCTGCGCCCACCTGGGGAGGGGGATCCAGAGGAGGAAGAGGCGGGGACAGTACTGGGAGGGCCCCCCGCGGGAGCTGGTGGGGCTAGGCTGCGGATGACCTGGAGCATCCTTTCCACCTTCCGCGGGGTTCCCCCTCTGTTCCTCGGACCCCCAACCCCCCCGCCCGCGGCCGGCTGAGGGCGCACCCGTTCTGTACAGTGTGTGCAGGGAGCGCGCCAGCTGGGTACTGGAGAGGCCGCTGAGGCGCGCCGCCTGGCAGAAGAAGGTGAGACCCGTGTGTGCACGCGCAGGCCGACCCTGGCCGCGCGCCCGGCTCTTACTGCACGTGCTCAGCCGCAGAGCCCGCTGCTTCTTTAAATAGTAGCTTGGAGGAGAAAAGTGGGACAGCGGGCTCAGACACCACCTCTCGATCTCCTCCATCTTACATGTGGAGAAAGCAAGGAGGACCGGAAGCTACTTGTCTTTGGCTAAGGATGACCTGGGGCCCAGGAAATGGATCCAGAACTCAGGGCATTCTGGGGTGGGGGTGGGGGGGCAGGAATATCAGGGGATTCTCTGCAAGGCCGGGCTCAGTTCTCAGAATGTTGAGTCTAGGAGCTAGGGGTGGCTGTGCCCACCTTATCACCTCCTGCCCTGATTTAGAGGGCACAAAGCCCTGTTTCAGCAGCTTGAACAGCACCTCGAGGAACAGGGTCTGCAGGCCCGGAGGCTCACAGACCCGATTGCTCTTCATTAGACCTGAGTACAACAAACACAGGCAGGGATGAGGAGGGCTGTCCTCATTCAAGACGCCCCCCCCCCCCCAACACTGCCAATCACCTTAACCCCTCACCCATGTACTGAGCCAGGTGGTGGTTGTCAGTGAGAACTCCCAGGAAATCCTTGAAGCTTACAGTTCCATCACCTGGGGAGACAAGAGGGTGCAGTGGGTACTTGCCCTTTGGGGAAGTTTGTCCTGCAGATACGTTAGGAGTTTAAATACATGTTGAGCGTGATCATAACCCTCCCCTAAACCATTTATCTCTTTAAAATAGATTTTAATAAAGTACTAACGTCACTTATTAGCATACTTCTGTAGAAGCCAAAGGGTTCTAGCAGGTGTGGAGAGAAACCGCTCTTGCCCCCGGGAGATGAGGATTGACTCAGTAGCCATGTACAAAGGCTGGGAGGTAGGGGTGCTTCCCGGAAGAGGGAACCTTAAAAAAGAACTGGCCCGGGACAAGGATTTTGTCGCTCTGGGTAGCATCCATCAGGCGGCTGCCCGGAGGAGGGAGAGCAGGGAGGCAGAGACGAGGCACCCACCATCTAGGTCGGCCAGCCGCAGAGCCTCACACATTTGCTGCGGGCCCAGCTGGATGCCCACGTTGCGCAGAGCCACCTTCATGCTGTGCATGTCTACGGTGCCCATTGGGCTGCAGCTGAACAGTTTGAAGATGTCCTGGAAGGCTGAGTGGAGAGAGGGGACTGTCACCCAGGTGAGGCCTCTGTGTGGTGTCCCTGCGACTGTGCTGGCTGGGACTGGGGTTTAGACACACTCGTTATTATAGCATTCACGACAATGGACAGCAGCGACCTGGTGGCTTGCTGCGGGTTGGCTCTTAAGTTATTCTAGCCTTAGGTCCAAATCTTCTATTTGGGCATTTTCTTTTTTTAAAAATTAATTAATTTATTTATTTTTTATTATTTTTTAAAGATTTATTTATTATGTATACAACATTCTGCCTCCATGTATGCTGACACACCAGAAGAGGGTGCCAGATCTCATTACAGATGGTTGTGACCCACCATGTGGTTGCTGGGAATTGAACTCACGACCTGTGGAAGAACAGCCAGTGGCTTAACCTCTGAGCCATCTCTCCAGCCCTATTTGGGCATTTTCTTACAAAAAAGCATTTACGGCTCATGTGTAGAGGCCAGAGAGAGGGCTCGGCAAGTAAGGGTGCTCGCTGTCAAACGTGACAACCTGAGTTTGATCCCCAGGACCCACGTGATAAAGAGAACTGGTTGCCGTAAGTTGTCCTCTGTCCTCCACATGAATGTCATGGCGCATGCACACGAGTAGAAAAATATTTTAAAAACACGTGGGACTAGAGATTTGGCAAAGTGGTTAAGAGCACATACTGCTCTTACAGAGAGCCTGAGTTACTTGTTGGGTGGCTTACGGCTGCCTGTAAGTCCAGGCCCAGGGGAATCTGGATCCCCTTAGCTTCTGTGAACACTGCGCACCCCTCACAACTAAAATTAAAAATTTTTTTTTTTTTTTAAATTCACATCCAAGGTTACATGCCGGAGTCTGGCTCTATGGCAGCGTGGGAGCCCCACTGGAGTGCGGCATACAAGCAGGCTCTTAGATTACCACTGTAGAAAATGATGCTTCTCTGATGGGTCCCGTCAGCATCAGGTGTGACATCCGAGGATCACCTTCTATCCTACGCCCGCCTCTCAGGCCAGTCCCTGCGAATTTTTCTTTCCTGTCCATTCCTCTTTTTTAAACCCTGTCCCATCCATCCAGACACGTCTCTCCAACTATCTAAAATACATTTAGTTTTATTTTCCTTATTTTCTTCACAGACACAGATACAAAGATAAACAGAGACACAGACACACGGAGGCACAGATGCACAGACAGAGACACACACACTTCTGGGGCACATCAGTGAGCCCTTGGGCTATAGAGAAGAAAAAAATAGATTGGCATGGAGGAAGGGTTGCAAGGGTCATAAACATGCTAACCTCAGGGCAGGTAACTCCTTGCAATTCTGTCCTGAGCATCCCTCCATAATTTCCTCTCTACTTCTGGACCTACGGTCCCCTTACCTGCCAGCTCCCGGGGTGTCAGGGGTATCATGCTGTCATCGCTGGAACTGCGCCAGTTAAAGGAGTTAGACATGTAATACCTGCTTCAAGAGATTCCAGGGCCAAGCAGGCCTTGCCCCCAAACCAGCACCCCAAGCCTGGCCTCCACTTCCTACCCTCACCTCTGAGACTTGGTATCCGGGCCTGACCAGTAGGAATTGCTAGCTTCGGGGTCCTTAAATTCCCTTGACCTCAGTACGGTCTGATCCTCCTTTGTGGCCATGGCTGCTGCTAGCTCTGACTGGAGCGGCTGGCTTGTCTGCAGCTGCAGCAGCCCTTTCTGCACCCTGCCTGCCTGCTCCTCTCGTGTATCTCGTGTGGGGAGACCTCGAGGCTTCTGTGGAGACCTTGGAGACAGGGAGTAGGCAGAACAGCATGATCAACTGGAGGGCATAGATTCCAGGGGACCTAGGGGACAAGGGCTGTGGGTGAGCAGGTCCACCTCCTCCCCCCAGGGTCCTCAGGCCAGGCTGAATCCACAGCTCTGTAGGGAGGGGCTTTCTGTCAGGCACAGGATGTGAAACCCCAACTCAGGACCTGGCTCCAGCCCAGTCTCCTGTACCTTCTCAGTGTCGATGGGGGTCTCCTGGTCTTCTGGCCTCTGCTGCCTGAAAGGCAGAGTCACAGGCTCTGAGGCTGCCCGGAGGTTGCCTCTGTGTTGGCTTTTGTCCTTTGAGGGTGCCAACCCTCATTCACAGGCTGACTTCCTGCTGGAGCGTTCCTTTAGTCTCCCCAAGTCGCTACCTCCCTCCAGGCACCTGAATTTGTGATTATGAATCTGAATCAAGATGGCAGAGGCGCACTAGGAAAAGCAGGCCACAGAATCCCAAAGCCAGGTACAGGGGCCATGGGCTCCTGTCCAGTGTAAACCCATTAACCACATTTTAAGTCATTCCATGAAACCTTAATATTTAAAAACAATAGAAATCAAGCAATGCTTACTCTCAGATCACTAGTGAATGGAACTAGAAGCCAGCAGAGCCGGGAGATCTCTAAATACTTGGAGATTAAATAATTCAGTTCTAAACAACATACGGGGCCAGGTGTAGTGATGTACACCCATAATTTCAGAACTCTGGATGCTGGGCAAGAGGATTGTGAGTTTAAGGTTAGCTTGACCTATATAATAAGACCTTGTCAAGAGGAAAAGAGAAAGCACATTGTTAAAACAAGACAAGGCCAGGCATGGTGGTGCATGTCAATAATTCCAGCACTTGGGGAGCAAAAGCAGAAGGATTGGGGGTTCAAGGCCATCTTCAGCTCTATAGTGAGTTTGAACCCAACCTGGGCAGTATGAGAACCTGTCTACAAACAAACAAACAAACAAACAAGTATGGATAAAAGAAGAAACCTCAAACTAAGCAAAAATAAAAAAAAAACCAACTTATTTGAAATAGTGGGATGTAGCAAAAACTTCTTTGAGACGTTTGTGGTGTTAGGTGCATGTTTTAGAAAAGGAATTATCTAAAACCAATCATTAGAGTTTCTACTCCAAGAAACGAGAAAAAGAAGTGCATCTCACATCACAGGTAGAATTAAGGTAATAAAAACGTGAACAAAAATTAAGATTGAAAGCAGAAAAGTCAATAGTGAATATAATAAATACCAAAATCTTGTTCTTTGGAAGAGTAATAAGGTAGACAGGGCAGTAAAGGAACCTGCTGACGAGTTTGATGACCTCGGTTCAAAGGTCCCCAGGACCTACGTGGAAGAAGATAACCGACTCCTTCAAACTGTCCTGACAAAGACACACGGACACACACACACAGACACACACACACAGAGACACACACACAGACACACACACAGACACACAGAGACACACAGAGACACACACACATACACACATACACATACACATACACACATAGACACACACATACACACACACAGACACACACAGACACACACACAGACACACACACACACCACTACATAACTAAAAAGGTGGGAGGGCAAGATTAAAAGGGCCATCACTAATGATCTCATGGATATTCAAAGCATAATAAAGAAATAGTATAAATGACTCTGTCTATAAGTTTGATAACCTTAATGAAGTAGACCAATTTCTTGAAAAACAGAAGCTGCCAAAAGATACATGTGAAGAAATAATCTGAATAGACTTTTATCTACTAAAGAAATCAAACCAATAATTGGCAGCCTTCCACAGAAGAGAAAGGCCCATATAAATTCTCTGATGATTTTTTAAAATAAAACATTTATCGAAGGACCATCCCTTCTCTATGGTATCTTAACCCACCCTGTGAGGCTGTTACCCTGCACCCCAAATAGAAAAAGACTTTTCCAGAAAACTACAATATTCCTCGAGAACATACATAGAAAAATCTCATTTTTAAACATCGTTTTAGCCACCAGGCATAGTGGTGCACACCTTTAATCCCAGCACTCAGGAGGCAGAGGCAGGTGGATCTCTGTGAGTTCCAGCCCAGACTGGTCTACAAAGTGAGTTTCAGGACAGCTAGGGCTACACAGTAAAACCCTGTCTCAAAGAAATAAAACAAAACAAACCAACCAATCAAACAATAACAAAAATTATTTTGGCCAGGTGTGATGAGAGCACTGTGAGGTCGGGACCCACCTGGTCTACATAGCAAGTTCCAGGGCAGCCAGGGCTACACAGAGAAACCCGGTCTTAAAATTAAACAAAGAACAACTAACATTGAGTTGCCAACAGTGTGAAGAAAATTAGAAGCCAATTATAGACTCGGAGACACATTTAAAAGGACCGTTAACACCAGATAAACACACAACCTTTAAATCTCCACAATGAGAAAATTAATCACTCAATGCAAATGGACGAACGATGTGAGCAGACACCTTAACAAATCAAAGATGTACACCTGCAAGGGTATAAGATCTGCAGAGAACTGAACGGCAAAGCGAGACGCCACCAGATGAGGAAGATGAGGAGCATCGTGCTGGGGCTGCAAAGCGGCGAGTTACCCTGGAAGCCACTTCAACTTTCTTAGAAATACTGAACACATCGTGATGTTTGGGTTGCGAGTCCAGCCTTTGGTAGCCGCGCCACCTCCCCAGCCCCTGAGCACACCTTTACAACACTAGTAAGCAGCAACCGTGGTCCTCGGCATTTATCCAGATGATTTTAAAACACAAAATCCACACAGCGATCCTTATGGCAACTTCCTAACTGCCTAAACGTGAAATCCACCGAGATGTGTTTTGGTAGGTGGCTGGGAGAACCAACGGGTCCATCTAGATGATGCAATGTTATTGAGTGCTAAAAGGGAATGAACTGCCAAGCCGCGAAGATGCGGAGGGGAGTTAGCTGCTTGCTTACGAAGGGAAAGAAACCTGCTTGAAAAGGCTGCATGAGGTTCCGGTTCATTCTGGCAAAAGCAAAAGGGACCGGTGACAAATCGGTGGGTGGCTGGAGCGGAGGGGAGGATGAGTGGGTGGAGCACAGAGGGTATTCAGGACGGGCAAACTATTTTTATGACACTGCAATAAGACACGTGCTATATATGCGTCACAGAAAGTACTGCAAGAGGGAATGAAGCTCTATGGGCTTTGGGTGATGCTGAGCCAGTGTGGGTCTGTGTAACCATGTGTCTCTGCTTCAGGATGTCCCTGTGCTCCAGGCTGAGGGGCTGGGGCAGAGAAGGAACACACAGGAACTGTCTGTGCTTGCCCCTTAGCCCAGGCTGGCCTTGAGTTTGCTAATTAGACAGATACCCATGAAATATCCCTGACTGGTTTGGAACTAGCTCTGTAGATCATGCTGGCCTTGAACTCACAGAGATCCTCCTGCCTCCGCCTCCTAAGTGCTGGGATGAGAGGTGGATTGCCACCACCTCTGTTTAAAAAAATAGAATTTACACTTAAAAACCCTACCCAAATGATCAACTCTAAAGGCAAATTCTAAGGACTGCATGACACTCTAGCCAGAAATCTTCCATTTCTCTCTGTCCCCACCCTCAATTGCAGCCCCTTTCCCTTCTGGCCTGCTTTCCTACTGCCTAATCCCACTGCCCCATCCCTGGCTCCCCCGCTCAGCCTCCTCCTAGGCTCCTGATGGGCTTCTCCTTGCCAGGAAGCCTGACCAGGGCTGGGCATGGTGGCATGCTTCTCTTATAACCCTAGCACTCTGAAGGCTAAGGCAGGTAGTTTTGCGAGTTCAAAGCCAGCCTACACAGCAGTACCCTGTCTCAAGAGAAAAAAGAAGCTGTGTAGTGGTGCCTGCCTTTCATCCTAGCACCCAGGAGCCTGTCAGGGCTACAGAATGAGACCGTCTCAACAATGACAAGGACAACAAAAGCTGCTGCAGCAGTGCAAGCCTCTGCCGGGAATCCCAGCACTCAGGAGGTACAGCGAGAGGCTCCTTATGGACCTGAGGCAGTCCAGCTAGGGCAACGTAAACTCTGATGCACAAGACACAGAAACGAGGTGTGACGTGACTGGCTGCAATCCCGGCACTCAAGAGGCCACGGTAGAGAGACTGCTACAGGGTTGAAGCTAGCTTGGGCTCCACAGAGTGAGATGCCCGCACCCTACCTCTCTCATACACACAGCTGTCTATGGAGCAAGCTGGCCCCTTCTCTTTCTCTAAATCCACTTCACAGCCTTCTGACCTTTGCCAAAAGTGGAAACTCCCTCATATTGCCTTTCTTCTGGGCCTTTGTCCAGGCGCATGGTGTCTTATGCAAGTGTCTGGCTGGTGGTGTGTGGGAACTCCTCTGGGCTGCCATGTTGGGTATGTCATCAACATGGGATCTCCCTACATCTGGAGTTACCTCTGGCTGGAGGCTGTGGCCTTCTAAAAGATCAATCTATCAACCTCAGCTTTTCCCTCCTTCAAGCCAAACAATGTCCTCCCCAGGTCTCCTCACTGGCTACAGGGAGACTTCTCCTTGGATTTACTCTCTCATCTGGTCAGCCCCACCTCCAGGGAGGCCCCTCCTCCCACACCTTCACGCCCCCACGTCCCTGGATTTAGGCCTAAGAAACTGAAGCCACCGGGGATGGAGTTTTGAGGTGGCCTAGTGGTCTGGTAGGTGGAAGAAAAGCAGAAACACTTCAGGGAGGAAGCAAAGTCTAGATGGCTGGGCCAGAACTCTCAGGGGATGGGCGGGCTCAAGGGAAACTCAAAAGTGGAGGTGCCATCCCTAAAAAAATCGCTTCCAGAATATAGCAGCCAGCTGTGCTCAGTGGTTAGGAGGAGCTGGTCCTCCCAAACCTGAGCCAGAGCCCAGGCAGAATGGTATGTCCTTGCAATGTCATCGCTCGAGAGGCTGCGGTAGGCAGACCAAGGGTTCGAGGCCAGTCTGGGCTACAGAAAGAGACACTGTCTCCAGAGTCCAAGGGATGAGGATATAGCCCAGGAGTAAGATGCTGGCCTAAGTATGCTCAGGGCCCTGGGTTTGATCCCAGCAGCTTAAAAAAGAGTCTTCAGCAGGGCCAGCACTGGAGGCTTTAATGTTTTGTCTAATTTCTCTGGGGTGAAGGGGACGACAACTTAAAATGGATTTTCAGCAATAATGGATTCCCTTTCTTGGTTCCCGGCACCGAGCTGCAATACAAAAGAGACAGTGTCACTAGGGCCTTAGGATCCAGGGGTCCCCCGCTGCGCCTGTGGGGCAGCTGGGGCTCTGTTCTACGTCTACAGGTCATCAGAGGTCAAGGGCTCTGAAGCCCAGCTCCCTTACGCTCACTCACTCACTCACGGAAGTGTCCTGCGCCCCAGAGATGTGACCATTGTGCTCTCAGGAGACAGACGACACGGAAACACACCTGTTTCCTCCTGAGGCAACGTGGCCCTGCCCATTTTAAACCCAGGTTTCTGTCCTAGCCCTGGAGAGCTCACCCTCCATGGTCCCCAGGCCTCCTCCGGCCCTGTCTTTGCTACTGCACCTCAGGTCACCGGAACCTAGCAGCCTTTGTGAGGTCATTGGGTTTGCTCCCTCCCCTGCCTCTGCCCCTCCCCTCCATTCCACTGTCGCAGACCCCACCTGGCTATGTGAGACCCGAGCCTATCCCCACCCACATGCTGGCCCTGGGGAAGGGCTGCAGGGCAGCGTCACTCACTCTTCTTTGTCTTCCTGAAGCTGGGGTGAGGGTGGTTCCTTGACAAACTTCACTTCCCCTTCGATGGTGGCATTCTTGAACCCTGTCTTGCTAAAATCTAGGAAAGAGCAAGCTACGTTCCTGGTTTCTTGAGTCCAAGATTCATGAGTCATCATGTCTTTGGATGATTTCTCTTGCTTCTCCGAGGATATCTGGGCAATCTGGGTAGCCTGGGCATACTGGATGGACTGGACCGGCTGGCAAAGCTCTGTAGACGTCTCCTGGGACTTCTCAGATGTACTTTTGATCATATTTTCTAGATTAGGCAAGTCCCTGCTGCTGGAGGAGGCTACGGCAAGGGAGGACGCGAAGTTGATCAGATCTGCCAGGCCAATGGCTGTGGGCAGGGTAGTGCAGGATACCCGGGGACTTGACGGCCGTGGGGCACAGTCTGGGAGAACCTGGGGAATGCAGACAGATTTTTCCAGCGGGCTCTTGTGATGTTTCTCTAAGGCCAGCTGGAGGCTGTGCTCTGACGCCTGGATGAGCTTGTTCGCCCAGAAGAGGTGTTTAGAGGTCTGCACGGGGATGGAGCGGAACTGGGTGGAGCACATCTGCTCATCCTCCCTGTTGCTCGAGTTTGCGATGAAGCCCCAGGGCCTGGATGACAGCTCTTCCTCATAGGGCTTGAGGGATTCGATCCTGGAGCCCTCCTGCTCCGGGCTTTCAGTGAAATACTCCCCTTCGGTCTCAGGCGTGGGCTTAGAGGGTACCACTGGCGCCATCTCCTCCAGCTGTGGCACTGGGCCTGGGTCTGGGTGCCCTTTGAGTAATGTCTCCTTCTTGGGCAGTTCTGCTTTCTGCTGAAGATTTCAAACGGAAGTTGAGGCAACAGGAGCTGGACACCCCTTCCCCCAGGACCCCCCCCCCCCAAGCCCCTGTCCTGATCCCGTGTGGCACACTACCAACCCCTTACCTCCACTTGCTTCTCGGAGACCTGCCTGGGCCAGAGAAGCAAGCTCAGAGAAGATATGGTGAAGGCGTGTGTGGGGCCTGGTACAGTCCCAGAAGGGACAAGCATCAAGACCCTGCTGTCTTGCCTGCGACCTCTGCATAACGTGTGGTACTCTTACCTCTGTTTCTTCATCCTCCTCTTCTTTATGGATGTGGGGCTGGTGGTGATAGTCATTCCTGAAGCATAAAGGATCCAAATGGGTGACAGAGACCCCGCGGATCCTCTAGGGCCCTCAAAGCTCTGGCTTTGTACACAGGTGGGCAAGAAGACCTCTGCGCTACTCCCCACTGTCCCTGCTCCATTGGGAGCTCTGAAGTGTCATATTCCTTGTGCATGCGTGCGTGTGCATATGCGTGTGCATGTGTGTGTGATGACTGCACGCACACATACAAATGTGGAGGCTAGAGGTTAATCTTGCGTGTCTATCTTAGCTATTCTCCATCTCATTTTTTGGAGACAGAATTTCTCTCTGAACGCGGAGCTCACTGATTTGCTAGAGGGGCTGGCCAGTGAACCCCTGGAATTTTCCTGCTTCCATCTCCCAGCTCTGGGGTTACAGTGTTTGTATGTTCAGCTTTTCCCCTGGCTGTGGGATATCTGAACTCGGGCCCTGGACACTTTACCCCCTAACATGGCGGCACTCTTAAGACTCTCCAAACTTCAGAAGCTCTGAAGAGCTTGCCAATACCACTCTTCTACTCCATCTGGTTGGAGGAGGAGCCTGGGAATCTTCATTCTTTTTTTGGTGGAGGTGGTCTGGAGACAGGGTTTCTCTGTCTCTGGGACTCACTGTGTAGACCAGGTTGGCCTCGAATTCACAGAGATCTCCCTGCGGGATTAAATCTGAGTGCCGGGATTGAAGGTGTGCGCCACCACCGCCCTGCTGGGAATCTTCATTTTAGTTAAGGGCTCTGGGTGAGCCAGGGTGCTCTGAAAACGGCTCCCTACACAGGGAGAGGCCCCTTACTCACCTGCCCCACTCCCAGTGGGTAGATGTGAGAACCCATGGAGACTGGGGGAAGTGCAGGGCCCCTTCACTTCTTCTCAGCCCCTACTCCTTCCTAGTGCTCCACCCTGAAACTCCTGTTCCCTCCTCAGGCACCTGTCTTTTCCTACCTTGGACAGCTCCGTCTGCCCCCACCAAGGCAGCCTTGCCTCTAAGTCCTCCACCCTCTTGCCAGGTTTGGAGGCCGGAGGCAGAGGTGGGATTACAGGCAACCCCAGCCTTCGGCCTGGACTCTGCTCCTGAGGAGATTTGGAAAGGAGCTACAAAGGGGAGATGCTAGTTGGGTGGGAGTGTGTGGTGTTGGGGAAAGGTCCGGGAGCCTGGGCTTTTAGGAGAAGGCCCCGTGCTAATAGGGACTGGTCCTCACGTTTTCTCCACGATGTCCACAGCACTCTTGCCACAGCAGGGAAATGCATTTACACCTGGCCCAGAAGAAAAGCAAAGGACAGGGAGCATCAGGGTGGGGGATGATCCCGGAGCTGGTGCCAAGTGCTCCTGCCCCCACTCCAGCCCACCCAACATTATCACTCCCATCTTACACTTTCCCTCACCACCCGTCTTCTGTCTCTGCTACCCTCCATTTGCCATCTTGGCCTTGTCCCAACTCTTGGATCTATCCCCTGCCTCTACGAGCATGGGTGCTGATAGCACTCCATCTCATGGTCGCCACGGAAAGCATCAGCGGGCGCTCCTTGTCCAGGCTTCCCATGGCTGGTGGTTGTTAAATGAAGGACTTGAATTCAGGCTTAAGAACCAGCTCTGTTTTCTGCTCTGCCATCCTCCACAGGAACCCATCACAACCGTGAAGAACTCTCCCACCCCACTCTGTCCGTTCTTCCTCTCTGCTGCTTCCAAGCTCTCTTTGGTCCCCTGTCACTGATCCAGGCCAAGGCCTCCACTCAGAGTACTTGGTCCGAGGTCATGCTAGCTCCGCACTGCTGTGTGGTGAGCTTGAATCACTCCTTGGCAGTCCTAGGGAGCTGAATCTCTGGGGGCGTCTTGTAGCCAGGGGATAGCCAGAAGCTATCTAATACAGAAGCCACCCCTCGTTCCTTAGAAGTGGGGCGCCAGGCTGTCTGAGCCTCTGCTCCCCTGGTAGTGATACGCATTGGTGGGGGGATCATGGCTTTGGTGCACTATGCAAAGTGGGTTCCCATGAGCTTAGGGTGGAGCAGGGAACGATTACTTTTTGGATAAGCGTTGCTCCCAGGATTGTATCAGAATCACGAGAATGAGCTGTGGCTTCTTCCTAGGGATGGAAGGGGTGGCCCTTGCACCACTGGTCCTAGGCATTAGGATTGGTCAGCTGTGTGGGGAGGCTCTCAGAGAAGCACCTGGCTTCCTATCCTCCTCCTCCTCCTCTTTCTTCTCCTTCATCATCATCTTCCTCCTCCTCCTCCTCCTCTTTCTTTTCCTTCATCATCATTTTGAGATCGTGTCTCACTATATAGACCAGCCAGCTTGGCCTCAAACTCAGAGATTAGTCTACCTCTGCCTCCTGATATTGGGATTATAAGTATGTACCATCATGCCTGGTCAATTTTTTTTTATAATTTTAACTTTATTTTATGTGCACTGGTGTGAAGGTGTCAGATCCCCAGGAACTGGAGTTACAGACAATTGTGAGATGCCATATGGGTGTTGGGAATTGAACCCAGGTCCTCTGGAAGTGCTGAGCTATCTCTTCAGCACTCCTATTTTTTAAAAAGACTTTTAAAATATCTTATTTTAATAATTATGTGTGTGTATGCCACTTGAGAGCAGATTCACTTAGAGGTCAGAGGTCTATGATCCCTGGGAGATGCATTCATATACAGGAGATTGTCAGTCAACAGATGTGGGTGCTGGGAGTTGAACCCGGATTCTCTACAAGGGCAGTGTGTGCTCTTAACTGAAGAACCATGAGATTGTCAGTCAACAGATGTGGGTGCTGGGAGTTGAACCAGGATTCTCTACAAGGGCAGTGTGTGCTCTTAACTGAAGAGCCATCTCGCCAACCTCCAGTTGTTACTTCAGACATGGTCTCTCTATGTAGCCTTGACTGACCTGGAACTTTCTATGGAGACCAAGTTGGCCTTGAACTTATAGATCCACCTGCCTCTGCCCCTCCAAGTGTCGGGATTAAAGACATGTGCTGCCATGCTTGACTTATCAAGACGTTTTGTCAAGAGCGTGATATTTTTTGTAGATCTTCTTTCTGAGACAGGGTTTCTCTGTGTAGCCCTACTATCTTGGAACTAGCTCTGTAGACCAGGCAGGCCTTGAACTCAGAGATCGCTTGCCTCTGCCTCCCGGATGCTGGGATTAAAGGTGTGCACTACCGATAATCTGGCTAAATATTTATTTTTAAAACTATTTTTTAATTTTGTGTATGCATGTATGCGTATGCATGTACAGCTATGCACAGGTATATGCGTGTATCTGCAGATGCCAGTGGAAGCCAGAAGAGGGCGCACTGGATTCCTTTGGAGCTGGAGTTGTACATGGTTGTGAGCTTCCTGACTAGATGCTGGGATGTGAACTTGGGACTTCCACAAGAGCAGCAAGTGCTCTTAATGGCAGAACTGCCTCTCTAGCCCCTCCCCTCCTTTTTCCTGCCTCTGACAGCATCTAATGTAGCCCAAGTGGGTTCAAACTCCCTATGTGACTAAAGCTGTCCTTGAACTCTTTTTTTTAAAGCTTTTTTTGTTTATATTTATTTATTTATTACATATACAATATTTTGTCTGTGTGTATGCCTGCAGGCCAGAAGAGGGCACCAGACCCCATTACAGATGGTTGTGAGCCATCATGTGGTTGCTGGGAATTGAACTCAGGACCTTTGGAAGAACAGTCAATGCTCTTAACCTCTGAGCCATCTCTCCAGCCCTGTCCTTGAACTCTTGATCCTCTTTGTCTGTCTGTCCCTGAGTGCTGGGACTATAGGCCACACTTGGACATTATACTAGTTTTCCTTCATGTATTTTGAAGTGCTGAAAGGGAACACAATCCTTTAGGATAGTTATTTGTTCTTTTGTTTTGCAGCCCTGGCAATGGAACTCAGAGCCTTGCATATACTAGGCAAAAATTTCACTTTCTAGCCCTAGATATTCCTTTTAAAATGATAATACTGAGTTCAATTCCCAGCAACCACATGGTCGCTCACAACCATCTGTAATGAGGTCTGGTGCCCTCTTCTGGCCTTCAGGCATACATGAAGACAGAATATTGTATACATAATAAATAAATAAATAAATAAATAAATAAATAAATAAATAAATATTTTTTAAAAAAAGGCTGGAGAGATGGCTCAGAGGTTGAGAGCGCTGACTGTTCTTCCAGAGGTCCTGAGTTCAATTCTCAGCAACCACATGGTGGCTCACAACCATTTGTGATGAGATCTGGCGCCCTCTTCTGGCCTGTAAATGTACATGCAGGCAGAGCACTCTATATATAATAAAATAAAATGTTTAAAATAAATAAATAAATAAAATGATAATAGCATTGCTACTATTTTTGTTTCCTATATATACACATATAATTTGTTTATAGCTTATTTGTTTATCGAGACAGAGTTTAATGTTTCCCTGGCTGGCTTTGAATGAGCTGTGTAGTTGAGGATGACCTGAAATTTCTGATCTCTGCTTCTAACAAGTTGCTGGGATGGCAGGCAGGGGCTACCACACCTGACTTAGGTTTGGAACTCAGATCTAAGCTTTTGTGAATGCCAGGCAAGTACCCAATTGCTGGGCTACGCCCCATCCCCTAGTAGTATAGTTTCTTGAGACACAGTCTTTCTGTGTAGCTTAGGCTAGCCTGGAAGTTACTGTGTCGCCCCGGCTGCCCTCAAACGTGCAGTCCTCCGGCCTCTGCCTTGTGACTGCAGGGGTTGTGGATATACACAACCATGCCTGGCTTTACTTTTCTTAGCCTTTAAAAAAGTATTTCCTGCTGGGAGGTGGTGGCACACAAGCTTTAATCCCAGCACTTGAGAGGCAGAGCCAGCCTGGTCTACAGAAGGAGGTCCAGTACAGGCTCCAAAAAAAGCTACACAGAGAAACCCTGTCTCTAAAAACCAAAATAAATAAATAAATAGTATTTCCTTTTATAATTAGAAAACTAACATTTATTTGTTAATTACTATGCTGTGTGTGCGTGCGTGTGTGTGCGCGCGTGTGTATGTGTGTGTGCGTGTGTGTGCGTGTGCGTGCGTGTGTGTGCGTGTGTGTGCGTGTGTGTGCATGTGTGTGCGCGTGTGTGCGTGTGTGTGCGCGTGCGTGTGTGTGTGTGTGCGTGCTCATGTGCTTGAGCCCCTATGGAGGTCATAGGACATTCACAAGAGTCAATTTTCTTCTAGTTTGTGGTCCCAGGGATTGAACTCAGGCTGTCCGGCTTGGTGTCGAGCACCTTTACTGACTGTTGTTCCTAACTCTTGATAAGGAACCTCTTTATCACTGTGAATGATCTCCTTTATCTCTGCTGTTATTTGATTTGAAACCTGTCTTGATACTGATACCACTTTTCGGCTTTCTTTTTCTAGTCTCCCTTTCGTGCTACTGGGGATTAGCGTGAGCGTGAGCTACCACTTCACTGTGAAGCTTTGTATTTTTCTGTTTAAAGTGAACTTTAAGAGGGAAGCATGTAGTTGAGCCTTGTTTTTTCTTCTTTTTTCTCAGGAAAAAGAGATACTGTGGATTGAGTGCAGAGTGTGCATCCCAGCAAGCTCTCCCTCAAGACAGTTGTATCCCCTGACCAAGTATCATGTTTTCTGTCTACTTAGGTCATCTTTGCTGTTCAGACGTGACTTTGTGTGTGTGTGTGTGTGTGTGTGTGTGTGTGTGTGAAAGGGGGCACTGAACCCAGGTTAGTACTCTCGTCCCTGCTAAGCTCTTGCTTTAGAAGGGAGTTATGTGAGCCGGGCGGTGGTGGCACACTCCTTTAATCCCAGAAATTGGGAGGCAGAGGCAGGCGGGTCTTAGTGAGTTCGAGGCCAGTCTGATCTACAAGAGCTAGTTCCAAGGTAGCCAGGTTTCACCGAGAAATGCTGTCTTGAAAAACCAAAAATAAATAAGTAAATAAAAAAAAAAATAAAGACGGAAGCTATGTGACATCTGCCTTTGTGTCTGAATGGATTGTTCTGTTATTTGTTTTCCATGTGCCACTCTGCTTTTTTAAATGTCCCCTTTAGATTATGTATCTGTATGATTCTATTGCATTTTCAAAGCTATGACTCTGTCTTGTTAGTTTGATTGCTTTAAGACTTAGACTATGCATCTTTAACATCACAAGTCTGCCTTCAAGTGGTAACAGGATAATATGCCAATATGTCAGTTAGGGATAATCCTCAACAGTGTGATGCTGTTTCCTCCTCATGACTGGGTATTCGAAATAGAACTTAAGAAATGAGGAGATAAGAGAGGACTGGGATACTGCTCAGAGGTACAGCATCTGTTGGGCACTTGGGAGACTCCATGTTTAATCCAGAGAGAGAGAGAGAGAGAGAGAGAGAATATGAATATGAACTTGTAGTGGTTAACTAAGCCCACGAACAGCACACCGGAGAGTTCTTTTTGCTTCTAGAGTATGGCAGGCAGAAGACTAGACATGCGATGTGATGGAATGCATGCAGAAGGAGGAAAATCAAAGATCACAAGAAAGGGTAGTTCAGGGGGCTGGAGAGACGGCTCAAAGGTTAAGAAGAGCACTGGCTCTGAATTGAACTGGAAATGAACTGTCCTGAGTTCAATTCCCAGCAACCACATGGTCGCTCAGAGCCATTTCATAATGAGATCTGAAGCCATGCAGGTATACGTGGAGACAGAAAGTTGCATACATAATAAATCTCTTTTTTAAAGGGCATTTCAGAGATTTGAGGAATGAAGGAAGAGAGCCCAGGGTTGAAGGGTAAGGTATCAGAAGACGCTGAAATTCCCCCAGGTGTGCCTGGTTGCCACCCTTAAGTGACAGTGGCCAGGCAATAAAACCTACAGTTGAAGGGGTCCCAGTGAGCTTCTTAAATGGTTTCATTCTTGAATAGGGGCAACCTAGGGCTACCAAATATTTAACAAATCTGTCAATAAGCAGATGAAAAGGCAATCCCAGGACACCAAAGATAATCTGAGAAACATAAGAGTACTCAGAAGAGAAGCTGATCATTTTCAGAGATTCAAGGACAACACTAAACATATCATATAAAAAATTAACAGGATACTGTGAAAAAGAATTAAAGAAGGAGAAAGCTTTCTGGGAAACAGCACTGGAAAACAATACTATTTCTAGAAAGCGATCCCAAACACCAAGCTTCAGTGAGAGAAGAGAATCAATACGGAGTCTGCTCTTTTTTCCATCTGTGTGCATGTGTGTGCATGCATCCTTCCTCTGGAGCCGTCCATATTGCTGTTTGGGACAGGCTCTCTCACGGGCTACTCAGGCCAGCCAGGATCCTCCTGTCTGCCTTCTCAGCACTGAGGTTATAGGTACTACCACCATGTCTGTTTTCCATGGGTTCTGGGGACTGAACCCAGATCGTCATGCTTGCAAGATACTGATAGCTATCTTTCCACCCAGATCTGTTTATGAAATCTAGAAGGGAGGCCCAGAGAGAACAAAGAAGTTGGAGAAGAAAAAAGTTAAAAATTCCCCTTAAATGAAGGTCTCACTGGCTTGGAAAAGTTTATGAATATTGGGCAGATCCAGTCTTGGAGCAATCCTTGCTGTGGCTGATGCTTACATCAGGTGCAATTGATTCACAAATTCATTTTTCATTTGTGTGTGTGTGTGTGTGTGTGTGTGTGTATGGGTACTGTGCATGTGGAAGCCAGAGGTTGGTGTGTGCATGTTTATGTGTGTGTGGGTATGTGTATGCATGTTTGTATGTGTGTAGGCATATGTGTGCATGTTTGCATGCGTGTAGGCATGCGTGTGCATGTTTGCGCGCATGTGTGTGTATATGCATCTTTGTGCATCTGTGGGTGTTGTGTATGCATCTTTGCATGTGTTTATATGTGTCTGTGTGTATATGCATGTTTGCACGTGTGTGGGTGCTGTGCTTGTGAAAGCTGGAGCTTGGTGTGAATATGTTTGTGTGTGTTGTATGTGCATGTTTGCACACGTGTGTGTGTCCATGTGTGTATGTGTTTGCGCATGTCTGTGTATCTGCATGTTTGCGCATATGTGGGTGTTGTGCTTGTGGAAGCTGGAGCTTGATGTGTGCATGTTTATGTGTGTGTGGATGTTGTGTATGCATATTTGTGTGTGTGTGGGTGCTGGGCATGCGGAAGCTGGAGGCTGTGTCCCACAGATAGACCATCATGCTAGCTTCCTGTCCCACAAATACAATATTATTATTATTGTTGTTATTGCTGTTGTGGTTTCTCTGTGTAGCCTTGGCTATCCTGGAACTCACTCTGTAGACCAGGCCCAGGCTGGCCTTGAACTCACAGAGAACTTCTTCCCTGTCTCTGTCTCTCTGAGTGTTGGGATTAAAGGCATGCACCATCACCCCCAGGCTCACAAACTTTTAAAGGGAAACCCCAGCAATTTATAAGAGGAAGAAACTCATACAGGCAGCAGAGGCACTAATAATGGTTGGTTTTAAAATTTTTAAAATTCTGATTTGTTTTTTTACCTAGAATTTTTGTTGTTGTTGAGAAAAGTTAAAATGTTAGGCCTGGCCTGCAGTTGCTCTGAGACATGCCTGGGGACCACTGACTTTTTTTTTTTTTTTTAAGTCAGCGAATAAATTCTCCAGTGCGCTTGAGTCAGGTGTATTTATTTCTTTGATAAAGCTGATAGGAAGGGCTGAAACTCAGCTGTTGGCCACTGTATTAGGGACTGAGGATAGAGGTGGACAGGCATTGTCTCTACGCCACGGTGCTCTCAAGCTTGTGACCATGTTTTTCCTGAAAGAGACCTTAAATCTCACAGTTTTTAAAACAGCACGCACCCGCACTCGTCAGAGCTCGGCTTCCCACTGCGATGACCTCAACAATTCTTGAGAGGTTTTCTAGACCTCACTGCTCTTCCGGTAGCTCCAGGCCCACCGTTCAGAGCACGTGGTTCCTGTTGACTCTCCCCCAGACCCTCTGCGGGTGGTGGCATTACTCGCTTTGGGTCTCCGGTCCTCCACAGTGTCCTATGCAAGGTGGATTCGGCGACCAGGCGCCTTTGCAAAGGTCTTAAATTCCCAACCCTTAGCTTTGCCAAATGTGTGCATTTGTACCCGCGAATGTGATCCCGTTGAACAAAATTCATTAAGACCCCCGACCGATCCAGCCCCCATTTTTTTCTGCACAGCGCGGGGCTGAAGCAGTAATCAAAGGCACCCAGTGGTGCTTTGCTGGGTTCAGCTTTCCTTTCCCCTCCCCAGGCCTACTCTGCGGCATCACTCAGTTTCCCCTCAGTTTCCCTTTCTCTGCTTCCACCCCCGCCATTTCTGGCACCGCCCACCACTCGGCGGCCGGTTCCCACCTGTCACCCCCATGCTGACACGGAGGCTCTGTCCGGGAGGCGGGCCGCTGCCCCTCCGCCTCCAGTGCGCTCTTTGGTTAGCCAGGTGGAGAGGCGCTGGAGATGCTGGGGGCGCTGGCGCCTGTGATGCTGCGGCTTCTGTGACGTTTGGCCAGGGATCTGACAGGCAGGAAACTTGAAGATTCATGCTAAGGATGTGGGTGGGAGCAGCCGAGGATCTTTAAGGGTTTGGAGGTGGAATAGCCAGGGCACTCAGACCTGGGGCAGCTGGCCACTCCGAAGCAGACCAGGTATGTGGACGGCACTCCTGGGTAAGGACAAGGCTTGGAACCTCAGCGGGCCACAAAGCCCCTGTATTTTTGAGGGTCTGGGATTCCTCCAAGGACAGCCAAATGTCTCTCTAAACTGTACATGTGTGCCGCACACACATCCATGCGCTGCTTGAAAGGGTGATCCTCCAATTTTTTACCATTAACATTTATTATTTGTGTGTGTGAACACTTGCATGTCATGGCCAGTGTGCGGAGGGAGGTCAGAGGACAACTTTTGGGAATTGGTTGCCACCTTCCACCATGCAATTCCCAGGGATCAAATTCAGATCGGCAGGTTTGCTCTTAAGCCTGTTTACCCGGAATCACTTCAGCTGGCTTGAATTTTCCCCCCTAAACTAGAACCAGTAACAAATCTTTACTTAATCCCAGCACTGGGGAGGTGGAAGCAGGGAGGGGGGGGGGTCTCTGTGAGTTTGAGGTCAGCCTGGTCCACATAGTGAGTTCCAGGACGGTCATGGCTACACAGTGAGACCCTGTCTCAAATCTATTAAGAAAACTGTTTTCATCTTGAGACAAAGTTCAATGTGGCCCAGGCTGGCCTCCAATTCTTCATGTAGCCCAAAGCTGGATTACAGGTGTACACGGGCATAGTCAGCTCTTTCTAGGGACCGGAGTCAGATCAGACGCTGCTCCATGAGTGAGGATCTCACGCTGGGAAAGTCATCACTATCCCATGCTCTAACTGATACTGGGCGAGTCCTCTGGCTGTCAGGCCTCAGGGACAGGAGACTGTGGGTGGTAGTGCTGGGGCATGCAAGCCCCTCCCCTCTGGTGCTGGTGGGCCACCTGGTCTTTTAGAGGCTTCCTCCCCTCCGCCCAGGAGTTTGGCTAGCTACAAGAGATAGGGCAGCCCAGGGAATGGTAGGTGGAACAGCCACCTCAAGGGCTGATGCCAGTCGTTGCCTCCAACAATGGGGAGACTTGAAGGAATTTACCCCAACAGCTGTCAGGATTGTGGAGCACAGCAAGCAGACAGGCAAAAGAGACACCACAGCCTACAAACAATCATCACCCCCAATTTTATTGCTTTACAGAACTCAGGCACACCCCAAATGCAGCACCATGGCTGCGGTTCTTCACGGGCTGTGGCCAGGAGCAGCTTTGCGAATTGCTGGACAGAATCTATCTTGGCTGGCTGGGGGTGGGAGGATGAGCTTCTCCAGAAGAGGGGGGGTCTCTGTGCCCCTCCCCACAATGATTCACAGTTAACTTAATGCTACATGAGTCCAAGCCTGACCAGGAAAAGCCTGGCTAGGGCAATGGGGGTGAGATGCTCAATCTGAAGGAGGCTTGAGGCAGTCAAGCCTGTGTGGATGATGGGGCAAGACAGTCCCTTCCCCATCCCCTGGCCTGCTTGTGCCCATGCAGAGCCAATGCTCTGCTGGAAGGCAGCCAGAAAAGTGCTTTGAGGTCATTAGAGTGCAAAGTGCTGCGGACAGTGTCTTGTCACCATGAAGCTGGCGTGCCGGGTATTGTCTATGTGCCTTGGCGGATGGCAAGTCCTGCATCTGTGGCTTTCTTTAGCATCTGTCATTTGAAGACCATTCCTGTCAGGTCTCACGTCATCCTTCAGTTCCACAGATGAGGGTCTAGGGTGCCAGCTAGCCAAAGGGCAGGCCTCAGTGAGGCCTGATGCTCCGAGGACGAGTGGTGCCCAGCAGCCACAAACCTGAGGCCCGAGACTCGCTTCTCTTTGATACCTTCTATGGTTCTTGGTTGAACAAGGAGCTCAACCCAGGACCTGGACTACAATAACCCAAAGGTGTGGTGCATTCTACCAAGGTGCTAGCATCCTTCCTGCCTGCTCTGTCTCACACTAGTTAATGGCCAGGGAGGCCAGACAAGGGCTTGAAAGCTCCACGAGCCCCTGGGCAGGTACACCTGCGGCCTTGCCCTACATGAGGCAGGCGGGAACCCAGATCTACCTTCCTAGGTACTTGTTCTTCTTGATCAGGCTAGAAGCTGCACCCCAACTGCTGGCAGGTGCTGACTGATCCATGAGGGTCTTGTTTGGAGCATCACAGAGAGCACTGGCTCTCTTCCTGGGGGATGAGACCGTCTTCTTCCTTGTCTCCTCATGAGTGAAGGGTTTCTCCTGTCAGAGGCCAGCAGCACTCAGGAGGCAAATCCTGGGAGGCGCTTTACCTGCTCCGGTTTCTGCTGCAAGCCTTGGTCTCACTGCTAACCCAGGGGCTGGCAGATCTCCCTGAGCAGACTCAGCCAGCATCTCAGAGCACTGAGTACTGAGATTCAAAGGAAGCCTGCTGTGAGCAGAACAGAGCTGGTGGTGGAAGACAGGGCTACGGCTGATTCTCCAGCTGTCCATGCTTGACCCTCCAGCTCCAGGTGAAGCTGCCGTCAAGGGCCAGGGTGCACCGCAGGTCGATGCCTGAGTCGGGCACCTCCATGTCATAGCGAACAGGCTGTCCGTCTTTGGTCACCAAGCTGAAGGCTGTGGCTGGGATCTGTGGGGAGAGCAAAGCAGTGGTGGTGAGAACCCAGCTAGAGGGTAAAATGAATGGTCCCCAAACATGCTCGGGCACCTGCAGCCAAACAGGTGGCCCGGAGAGCCTTGCCTGTCCTTCACTCTGGAGGACTTGAAGAGTCCTTCCTAGCCCAACTGTAGGTTCAGAGATCCTCAACAGCCCCAGGACCTGGAGGACAGCTAAGGCATGGGCCCCTATCTTCCAGGGTGCCATTTCTATTTATTTGAAAGGCTTCCTCCTGGAGAACTCCGTCCCTAAGTGTGACTTGTGTCCGTACCTGGCTGCTGATGCCAGTTGCAATGTCTCCCACCTTGACCCGGTGGAATTCTCGGATGTGCAGGTGTTCGCCATTGAGAGTCTGTATTTGAACCTTGACACCTAGAAGGCAAGGCTGACAGTGAGGGCAGAGCAGGGGCTGGTCACCCAGAGAGCAGGGGCCTGGGACGGGCAGGGACAACCTCTGGAGTCACACTGCGTTCATAGAGTGGAACAGTCCGGCTGGGTTGAAGCAGCCGAGAGGAAATTTAGGTTAAGGGGCCCTAATAATACTTCCCGGCCAGCAACGCCTGGAGTTTGACCTGCACCTTGCTAAGAGCTGAGGCCAGCTTCCAGGGGTAAGAAATGTTCTCCTCTGGATGGACAGCAAAACGGCACTGAAGACAAGGGCTCCCTCCCCCTGACTAAGTTATTGGTTTATCACCATGTCTGTTTGTCTTTTTATTCTTCATAATTCCTTCATTTAGACCCCCCCCTTTTGTTTAGTTTTTCAAGATAGGGTTTCTCTATGTAGCTTTGGCTGTCCTGGAACTAACTCTGTAGATCAGGCTGGACTTGAACTCACAGAGATCCGCCTGCCTCTGCCTGGGGTTAAGGCATGTGCCACCACTGTCCAGCTATCTCTTCCTCCTCCTTTTTTGTTTTTTGTTTTTAAATTTATTTATTTATTAAAGATTTCTGTCTCTTCCCCGCCACCACCTCCCATTTCCCTCCCCCTCCCCCAATCAAGTACCCCTCCCTCGTCAGCCCAAAGAGCGATCAGGGTTCCCTGCCCTGGGGTGCACCCATACACTGAGACAATGGGGATGTTCTATCGGGAACTCACCAAGGCCAGCTGGCCTTGGTCTGAAAAAGCCTGGGATAAAACTGGACTCGCTGAACATAGTGGACAATGAGGACTACTGAGAACTCAAGAACAATGGCAATGGGTTTTTGATCCTACTGCACGTACTGGCTTTGTGGGAGCCTAGGCAGTTTGGATGCTCACCTTTTTTGTTTTTTGTAAAGTTCGGTCAACTGAGGCAGATGTGATAACATGTGGCCATTTTAAAGTCTTCTACAAACCCAAATTGCATAGACTAACTTCCTCTTTTAGTATAACACATGCAGGGTGGGGATCTGCTCAGTGGTGGAGCACTTGGCCAGCATGCACAAAGGCCCTGGGTTCAATCCTCAGCGACAGCAAGAACCATGAGGGGTTAAAAATGGCATTAACTAAACCTCTCGGCAAAGCCCTCTATTTGATGAGGGGTGGCAAGTGACGTTGTCATTTCAAAGTCCTTTTCAGTTAATATACTCCTGACTACTCCACATTTTTCTGTGAAAATGGATAAATAATATAATGAATTGTGTGCAACTGTAGTTTCCTAGAACCCATTTTAAACCCTCTCAGGAAAGGGGTACAGATGAGTTATAAGACCCCAATCCCTGCTGCTTCTCTGGCAGAGTGTCAAGGACGTCAGACAGCCACCCTACCACTGAGTATCTTCTAAGCCCCTGTGAGTCCCCCTTCTGAAAACTTCGGGCACAGTTAAATAATTTTTATGTTTATTTATTTTTCTTCTTTATTTGAGACAGTTTCTTCTTTGTGTAACAGTTCTGGCTGTCCTTCCTGGACCTCACTTTGTAGACCAGGCTGGCCTTGAATTCACAGGATCCACCTGCCTCTGCCTTCTGAGTGCTGGGATTAAAGGTGTGCGCCATCATGCCCGGCAGTTATTTTTTTTTAACTAACATGCCAATTCCAGAAAATTCAAAACCCAACAGAGTTGTCTTTTTTTTTTTTTAAAAAGGAGAGAGAAATCTAGATCTGTAACAAATTAGGCTACCCATCTTGACTCAGTGAATGTTTTATTTAAGTACTGCCACCCCTACAGCTTACACTCTGCCATCTCTGATGAATCTTGAGCATTGGCTCCTTTGAGTCATACCATCCCAATTTTAGTCCAGACAGGAAGCGAGCTCGTCATGCTTCCATTCTCCTCCACGCTCTTAAATTAGACCCTAGGCAACGTAAAGTGTCTCCGAGCTAAAG